GCACGCATGCCAGGCGAGCGCGCTACCGCTTGAGCCACATCCCGAGCCCTTCAGCAGTGATTCTTAACCCATGTAGCATACCATATAGAGATGAATATTACCTTAGTGTTCTAATACGTACTAAGCTATCTTTTAATAACTACCTATAACTGACTGATTAATATTAGTGGGCAAGGAAAACACAGAATAAATTATCTACTAATTACACAAGGACATACCAATGATTTTTGACCCATCATCTTCTACATCTGAGAGTTCCATGTCTTCCACATCACGATTATCAGTCACAGGTTCAGGTGTAGCAGATTTCTCACTCTCCATTGTTGGTGACTGGGATTCCTCACCTCCCATTCCCTGAAATGGGGACTCCGAACCAGTTGGGGAGGGAGCATCCATACTTGGGGAAGGAACTGGTGATTCTTCAGGATCAGGAAGGGTTGACTTCAACTGATCCAATTTCTTCTTTAAATTGTTTACTCGGTTAGCAAAGGTTTTGTATGCCTAAAAGAGAAAAAGGAGTTTAATTCCCTGGGAAAAGGACCAAGAAGTTACCATTCCAACTCTGATCAGATTTACTCATCATTACAACATCACTGGCTCAAAACATGAAAATAACAATCTGTCAAGCATGAAATATTTTTTAATTCTTTCTCTGTCTCTCTCAGTACTGGGGATTGAACTCAGGGGTGCTTTTCCACTGAGCTACACCTCTGGTCCTTTCTATTTTGACAGAGGGTCTCATTACATTGCTGATGCTGGCTTCAAACTTTTGATTTTCCTGCTTCAGCCTCCCAAACTCTGGTTGTGTGCCAGTAAGCCTGGCTCTAATCTCTTAAGTGAATATCAACATCCACAAAGTTGCCTAAGTTAGAAATGTAAAGAATTCTTTAAAAAAAAATCTTTATTATAATAATTTGCTTATTTTTATGTGTGCTGAGGATCGAACCCAGTGCCTCACATGTGTGAGGCATGCGCTCTGCCACTCAGCCCCAGCCCCAACCCCTTAAAGAATTCTTTAGTCTGGAATACTTGTTTGTGACAGTTTGTTGAACTTCCCTTGTTTTTGATGAACTCGAACAGTGTTAAAAATACTGTTTAGATATTTTGTAGACTGTCAAATGAGATTTATTGGCTATTTTTCTCATGATTAGATGGGGGTTAAGGGTTTTTGGAGAAAAAGACACAGAGATAAAGTGCTATTGCCATCACATTGTATTAAGGGTATAATCTACCACTGTTGATGTTAATATCAATTATCTGACTTAAATCCTACTGATCTCCTGTTTTAATTGCCAATACCTTAAAGCTATGGTGGTACTAAGGATTTTGAGAAATAGTCTTCCTAGGTGGCCCATACTGGCCTTGAACTTGTAATCCTAGTGCCTTAGCCTCCTGAGGAGCTGAGATTACAGGTGTGTGCCATATGTTCATGATGTTCTCCTTTAAAAATTTTATTTACTTGTTTATTTGTGGTACTGGGAAAATCAAACCCAGAATCTCCCACAAGCCAGGCAAACACTCAGGCACTGAACCACATTTTCAGCCTCAATGATGTTCTCTTTTTTGTCTAGTTTTCCTCTTCTTACAGTAAAAGCACCAGTAATACTTGACTTGATCATATCTGCAGAGACGCTGGTTCCAAATAAGGTCATATACTGGTTTCAACATAACTTTCCAGGAGATACAATTCAACCCATAACAATTAGCAAGAAAAAACATCATAATGGACAAGACTGGAAGATGTGACATTAATCAAGATATTAAGGGGAACATTATAGTTACTAAGATATATCAAACTTGTGGGCCAAGTGACAAAATGAAAGAATATGTGATATTTCTTCTAAACATAAATAACCTCAAGCTGATCACAAACAAATACCACATATATTCAAACTGGGGGAGATGCACAAAAGATTTGATTTGTAATTTTCAAACATAAGTTTCAAACATAAGTCATGTAAGTCAAGAAAAAAAACTAAGGAACTGTTCTAGATCAAAGGACAATAAAGAGAAATGACAAATAAAATTTATTAATACTGAACAGGATCTTTTGCTATTAAAACTGGTCAATTTAGCTGGGCACAGTGGCACATGCCAAGAGGCAGGAGGATTGCTAGTTCAAAGCCAAACACAGCAACTTAGTAAGGCCCTAAGCAACTTTTAGCAAGACCCTGTATCTAAATAAAATATAAAGAAGGGCTAGGGATGTGGCTCAGTGGTTAAGTGCCCCTGGGATCAATATCAGGTACCAAAAGAAAAAAGAAAATTTTAAGCTTAATTTTGGAGATGGAGTCTTTGCTATGTCACACAGGGTGGCTTCAAACATGCCATCCTTCTGCTTCTGCTTCACTCTTCCAAACATCTGGGATTACAAGTAGGTACTACTGCATTTGGCAGAACAAAGAATTTGAATGCTTTTACTACAGAGTAGTGATTTCATCATAATCCATAAATATGGACAATTTTTATGTGTCAGCCAAAACAGAAAAACACTCAAGGGGAAAAAAAAAAAAAGATAACTATAGTTGAATTGTGTTATTTTTCTCTACCCTCCCCTGTATCAAACTCATGATGAAGTCTGGTCACCTCAAAATTTGACTGTATATACAGAGAGGTTTTTTTATTTTATTTTTGTATTTATTTATTTTTTGGTACCAGAGATTTAACTCAGGGGCACTAAACCCTTAAGCCACATCCCCAGCCCTATTTTGTATTTTATTTAGAGACAGGGTCTCACTGAGTTGCTTAGCACCTCACTATTCTGAAGCTGGCTTTGAACTCGCTGTTCTCCTGTCTCAGCCTCCCAAGCCACTGGGATTACAGGTGTGCACTACTGCAGCCGGCTAGAGAGAGAATTTTTATAAAGGTAATCAAGTTATCAACCGAAATAAAGTCTTTAGGATGGGCCCTATCTAATATGATTGGTATCTGGACATAGCATATACACAGAGGGAAGGTGATATCCAAAGAGATGGAGAAAAGATAACCATCTACAAACCAAAGAGAGGTCTCCGATAGATCATTCCTTCAAAAGTCCTCAGAAAGAACCAACTCTGCTGATACCTTGATTTTGGACTTTTAACGGTCAGACAATGAGACAATAAATTCATGTTGTTTAAGTCATCTAGTCTGAAACAGTTTCAATAATATCAGAAACCACTAATTTAGAAAGTTCTGCAAATCCCAAGCCAGGTAAATATAAAGAACACACTTAGGCACATCATTGAATGACTAATGAAAACCAAAGATAAAGTATTAATAGCAGCCGAAGAAAAAAAGACATATTATATTTAAAGAAGAAATTATAATAAGACTGATTTCTCACTGAAATTGTGGATACTCGCAGGACAAAAGAACATGCTTTTTTACTTTTGGTATCATGGATTGAACTCAAGGGCCGTTGACCACTGAGACATATCCCTAGACCTATTTTGTATTTTATTTAGAGACAGGGTCTCACTAAGTTGCTTAGGCACTTTGCTTTTGAACTCTTGATCCTCCTGCCTCAGTCTCCCAAGCCACTAGGATTAAAAGTGTGTACCACTGCACCTGGCCAAAAGAACATGTTTTAAGTGCAAAAATAATTGCTACCCTAGAATTCCATACCCAGAGGAAAAAAGATGTTCCAAATAAACAAATTTAAAGAATGGACTACCATCTTATCTATAGTCAAGGAAATCCTAAATATATTCCTCAGCAGAGAGACAATTATCCCAGATAAAAAAACAGGGATGCAGGGTTTTGTTTTTCGGTACATGGGATTGAACCCATGCTTAACTGTGGGCCACATTCCCAGTCCTTTTTATTTTGAGACAAGGTCTCACTAAGTTGTTGAGGACCTCTCCAAGTTGCTGAGGCTGGCCTTGAACTTGTGATCTTCCTGCATGTCCTTTCAGTTGCTGGGATTACAGGTGCCCACCTGAAGCAGCTAGAAGTCAGAGATCCGAATATGGATTTCAGCAGCTGCCCAGTGCCAAGGTGACAGAATTGAGTTTAGGTCCTGCCAACAAAACACTGTCTTTTCTTTGTTTTTCTTTCCTCTCCCTTGTGTGCTTTCTTTTGTAGTATTTGTAATTGAATCCAGGGACACTCTAGCACTCAGCTACATCTCTGGCCCTTTATAATGTATGCATGTATTTATTTTTGAGACAGGGTCTTGCCAAGTTGCCCAGACTGGTTTCAAATTTTTGATCCTCTTTGTTTCCAGAGTCTTTGAGATTACAGGTGTGCATTACCACACCCACTATACCATACACTCTTACAACCACACAGAGTAATTAAAACTTAAACTAGGAAAAAAAAAAAAAAAAAAGCAAAACACTGTTTTTTTCAGAGGCCTTTTAATGGGGGGGGGCAAAAAAGTCAGTTTACATGAAATTTAGCAACAGAATGTTTTCAGGTTATCTGAAAGAAAAAAAAAATAAACAGTACATACACTGGTTTCTAATCCCAATTTATGTCCTATAGTAGTAATTACAGGTGATTCTTCAGGATAATCCCCTTCAATACCAAAGCGTTAGGCTTTTAGTACAGCATAATGGTTAGGGTTTGTATGAGCTTTACAATCAGAAGGACCCAGGTATAATTCTAGTTGCCATCACTTTTTACTACCTATATCACCTTGTACAAAGTCACTAATTCTTCAAAAGTAAATCTGTGGAGATAATAATACTTATCCTTAAAGTTATATACCACGAGTAAACAGTCTCTGGCATACCGTAAGCACTCAATATAAGATAGCTGTAATTTTTACTTACATTGGCCACAACTTTTACTTCTTTATACTGTGCTTCATAGAAAATTCCAGCATTTTCCAGTGCTTCTGTTAGTGAAGGCCCATTTTTCACCTGCTTATCCAGTCCATTCACAAATTCTTCCAGCTTAGAGCTTGCCTCTTCAAATTCTTTGGAGAATTTCTTCCCACCAGTTTTATCTAAAATAATAGAGAAGGTATTTATTTTGTAAAAATTTTATTCTTTTGAGGACAGTCCCTGTTCGTGAATCATGTGAGTCTGTGAACCTCTTTCTGCTTGGTGTATAATTTGTGTGTGTGTGTGTGTGTGTGTGTGTGGTGCTGGGGATTGAACCCAGTGAGGCAAGCACTCTACCAACGGAGCTATATCCCCAGCCCAGTGTATAATATTTTTAGTCTTAGTTTTATTTTTTTTAATATTTTTTCTTTAGTTGTAGATGGACACAGTACATTTACTTTATTTGTTTTTATGTGGTGCTAAGGATCGAACCCAGAGCCTCAGGCATGCCTCAACCACTGAGCCACAACCCCAGACCTTAGTTTTATCTTAAATCACAAAACAGATTTATGTGGATCTGCTAAAGTGAAGAAGAGTGGAGGTAAAGATAAAGATGAGCTGGGGCTGGGGCTCAGAGGTAGAGCACTCACTTATCACGTGTAAGGCACTGGGTTCAATCCTCAGCATCCCATAAAACAATAAATAAACAAAAATAAAGGAATTGTGTCCATTTAGAACTAAAAAAAAATAATTAAAAAAAAAGAAAGAAAAGGAAGTTCAACTAAAACAAAGTTTGTTGTACTTCTTTTCTTCACAAATTTGTTGTACACTGCTACTTAGGAGTAAGAATGAAGCTCAATTCTGTTCACTTTCATTGTATCAACGTTCAGAAAAGTAAATGGATCTTTCTGTATACCACACTAAATATCTTTTTCTCTCTGAAAAAGATCCTTAGTAATCTGATATATACTTCTTTTCCAGTGACTTGGCTTTAGAAACGGACATAAAGTTTGGCTTTGCCTCTTATCAGCTGTGTAACTTGACCAAACTACTCATCTCCTTATGAAGTGAAGCCTCAGATTTCTCATGAATTAAGAGATTTTTTAGAATGCTTCTGGGTTGTTGTGAGAACTAAATTAGATCACACTCAAAGTATGGTGCAGACAATAGCTAAACTGTGGAGCCAACCTAGATGTCCTTCAGTGGATGATGGATGATAAAAAAAAAAAACAACAAACTGGCATTTATTCACAATGGAATATTACTCAGCAATAAAAGAGTAAGATCATGGCATGTGCAGGGAAATGGATAGCATTAGAGAAGATAATGCTAATTAAGTTAGCCAATCCCCCCCCAAAAAAAAACAAATGCCGAATGTCTTCTCTAAGGGGGGAGACTCAAAATGGGGTTGGGAGGGAGGGCAAGGGAGGAAGATTACCTCTAGATAGGGGATAGGGGTGGGAAGGACAGGGAGGGAGAAGGGGAATAGCATGGATAATGAAAGGAGACCCTCATCATTATATGTATATAATACATGTATGAAGATGTGAATTTGGTGTCAACATGTCATATATAATCAGATATGAGATAAATTATTGTATAATGGTGTATTAAGAACCGTAATGCAAAATAAATAATTAACTTTTTAAAAAATAAATAAAGTATGGTGCAGAAAAAAAATATGTGCCAAAATGAATAGCTAGTAGTCATTTATTCACTATTTCAAAGAGATTTATTAAATGCCTATTATGTAATAAGGACTGCTTTAGACACTAGAATAGTGACAACCAAATAAGGATAGTATTATGTATTAATGAAGCTTACATTTTGTATTTGGTAGTGTGAATATATATAATTTACAAAGTAAGGAAATGAGAATAACTGAATAGATTTAAAAAAAAATTTTTTTTTAACTTGTAGATGGACAGAATGCCTTTATTTATTTTTATGTGGTGCTTAAGTTCAAACCCAGTGCCTCACACATACCAGGCAAGCTCTCTGCCACTGAACTACAACCCCAGCCCAAATGACTAGATTTTTTTTTTTTTTAGTTGTAGATGAATACATTACCTTTACTTTTCTGAGGCGATGAGTGAGGATCAAACCAGTGTTTCACAAGTGCTAGGTAAGCACTCACCACTCAGCCACAACCCTGGCCCCAACTAACTAGATTTTACAAGGCATTACAGTGACTTATTAAAGGGCACATCCAAACCAATTAATCACACATATGAAATACAAATGTTTACATATAATTCAATACATCAAGAAAATGAGAATAAGAATTTAATGTATATGAATGAAGTCACTATTAGGAAAATCAGAGATACCACACTGTTTTTAAGACTTAAAGTTCTCTGGGGTAAACCAGTCTTAATTACCTGAAAACTCTAGATGTGGAAAGAAAAAATCTGAATTATTTTGTTTAAAAGAATATAAGTATTACCTTTTAAGCATTTGAGGGTTTCTGTGCTGCATACATCCACCCTCATAGTTGACAACTGTTTCTCTTTTAATTCTATCTGATCTTCTGAGCGCTTATATAGCAACAATTCTTCAATGAGGGCCTGAGACTGAAGACAGACCAGAGTCATATTTCATTTATAAGATCATTCAATTGTTTCTCCTTTTACCTCTCCCTTCATTTTTTTTCTCACAGTCAGGGATATCAAAGATAATTCTCATGTCAAAATTATATTTCAGTTACCTACTTTAATTATTCAAAGTTAAATTATGGATACAAGCTTAAGAAACAGATAAAGGTCCACTTAAATTTTTTTTTTTAATTTTATTTTTTGGTACTTGAGATTGAATCAGGGGTACAAAACCACTGAGCTACATCTCTAGCCTTTTTATTTTATTTTATCATTATTTTTTAGACAGGGTCTTGATAAGTTACTTAGGGCCTCACTAAATTGCTGAGGCTGGCTTTGAATTTGTGATCCTCTTGCCTCAGCCTCCTCAGTCACTGGAATAACAGGCATGTACCAACGCACCCGCTACTCACATTCTCTTTAAATTTTAGTTAGATAAACATAAGTCTTCTCAACAAAAATTCTAATTTAGCAGAATTTCACTAAAGAGCCTTCTTGTTAGCATAAATTCAATACAGAACTTAGTTGATACCACACAGTCTGGAAGGTTATATTTCTCATTAGACACATAAATTTCTAGACAATCTAATCCCAATCTGGATTTTATTAGAATGATTCAAGCATGTTTAGAACATAACCAATATAAAATTTAGTAAAAATAAATCTTACTAAACTATATTAAAAGGGATAGATAATGTTTTGCTCCAGTTAATATATTTAAGTTAACATTTAACTTACTCGAAACTCAGCAACTATCTTAGACTTGAGAGCAGCTTTTGGATTCGTGGATGCTGTTAGAATTAAACAAAAAGTCATTAAGAATATAAGGACCTGACTAAACTCAGGAAAAATCTTAGCTGTATAGTTAAGGGTGTACTCTTTGAACATATGGCAAACTTCCACATTTAAATCATAATATACTTCTTAGAATAAATAATGAACTATGAAATTTAAATACTCCCAAACGTAGTCAATATAAAAATAAACTATTTAGATAGGCCTAACCAACTTACCTCTAATTGGACCCTGAAGTCATGGAGTCCTAGACTCACTGATTTGGAGATACATGAAGTACCTGCTTTTTCTATACTGACTGAGAATGTAAGAGAGTCTCAAAACCTCAACATGACGATGTTTAGAAATAGGACATAAAATTAACCCTGAGCACTGGTTGAAAAATTTACTTTCAATTATCAACTCTATTCCCATATGTTTAGTTTTGGATTTATTTTCTGTTAACTCACTTCATAGCAAAAACAGGCAAGGACAGTTCTCAGTACATTATCACTGTGGATGAACTATGGCTGGAATGATGACTCTTGTTGTTTTAAGCATGCAACTTATGACAAAGATGTCAGAGGACTCCCCTTAACCATGATGAATATCATATGCTTGATGGAGCAAACCATTGCAAATGTCTTGTTCACCTCCCAATTCTCACTTTTACCTTGTTCCCTCCATACCTTCAAGTCTCTCAATATTCCTCAGTTTTCCCACAGAAGCCTATCACATGCAGTATTCCACTCCCTTGATCTCATGCTGGGTTAACATGATAAACACAACAGGAGCTCCAGTTAGAGAATGAGCTTCTTGCCAGGATATGAGGCCCATGTCTAATTGGTAGAATGTATCCCCAAATCTGAAGGATTTCATGGTTCCTACAAAAATGCTTCTCAATGCCTAGTCTCTTCTTCAGCTCTGTGGTTTAATGCCAGCTGCCTCTAACATCATATATCTTTGAACCTGAGAATTAGCCTGAGCACTATCAAGTTTTGTTTTGTTTTTCTTCTTTCAATTCCCCAACTACTCTTGAATCTTCACTCAATTAAACCCTTTTCTGCATTTTCTTTGTTTAATAGTGGTTTTTAAAGAGGTAACTTCATGGTAGCTTGTTTAATGTAAGTCACTGGGAGCCTCCCCGGCCTGGAAAACATAGGCTTGCCCATGGTTTATGCCAGGTACGATGTCAAATGGTCTACATTTTCTTCTGCTCCAAAAAGAGGAGGTAATTTTATATTAGTTGAGATTTTGTTCCTTACTTTGTGATTTCTTCCACTGCTTATTCGGTTGTTTGTTCAGATTTTCTTTCAGCTGCTTCTGAGTTTTGAAAGTGGTACCTGGAAAACATTTCAGTTTTTGCAATCTGGCATTATGGGAAGCTGTACTGTCTGTCCACTTCAGTGCCAAAGTTGTAGTATGAAAAAAGGCAATCCGAGACTGTGTTGTTTCTTTCTTTTCTTTAATTTTTATTAAAATTATCTATATATCTATATACCTATATCTATATAAACACCCACCAGATCTAAGAAGCCATCAAACAATTTCTATAAGATATTACTGATTCTGAAAAGAATAGGGCATAGGCTTAAAATATCATTTTAACAAATTCAAATGAAGAATTTAACAGCTTCTTAGAAGCTGCTATTTTGAAAGCAAATTTCTAGTCAAATAATGATCATGATAGCAGATTACCCCCAACTTCTATTCAATGACTTAATTACATGCATCAAATACATAAGGACAAAATTACTAAAAAAACAAAACAAAACAAAAAAATCCCAAAACACAGGTATATAACTTACTGCAAACCTCAATCAAAACAAAGTCTGAAGACTGCCAATATATACTTACTACCAAAAAGCTTAGGAAGAAATTAAACCCTGTACAAAAATTCTCCAATAGTAAGAGAACACAGTAGCATTTATTTATTTGAACAATGAAGAACACTTTTGAAATATTCAATTAAAGCAAATGCAGGAAAATAATCAGATGACTATCATCACTTATTATGTTCGATTTTTTTTTTTAGTCAATAAAAACAAAATCCAAATCCCTGCCTCTCAAATCAATTCCACTTAAATTTTAAATTCAAACAGATCTAGATTTTTACAAATACTTAATTTTTAAACAACAGGATCAGATTCAAAATTTTGTTTTTAATTATTATACAACCAGACTGGGTCTATAGATATATAATTGTACAGAGTGACTCAATTTTTGTTTTATGAGAGAAAAGACACTTACTCAAAGCCTCTCTCAATGCCACAATCATTTCTTCTGGGTATACATTTCTATCTTCCCAGATTTTAAAGATTCGTTCTATAGACTTGGAGACAGATGGATCCCTGAAGAAAAAGAGATTATAAAAAGATTGACTCACATTCAAAGCTAGAAATCTAAAAATCAACAAAATTACTATTTTCCAAGTTTTTCCTGATGTTTATTTTAAAATATTTTTTCCCTAAATGCTGAGTATTTTTATGATTAGATTGATGAACCAATTTGGTTTGGAATAAAAAGTTTTCATAAAATATAATTTTTTTTCTTAGTGTTTAGGGTTAAAGAAATCATAAAAACTTATTCAACACTTTTGTCAAGGACAAAGAGAGGGGGGATAGTAGAGGATAGGAAAGGCAGCAGAATACAATAGACACGAGTATGGCAATATGTAAATCAATGGAAGTGTAACTGATGTGATTCTGCAATCTGTATACGGGGTAAAAATGGGAGTTCATAACCCACTTGAATCAAAGTGTGAAATATGATATGTCAAGAACTATGTAATGGGGCTGGGGATGTGGCTCAAGCGGTAGCGCGCTCGCCTTGCATGTGTGCGGCCCGGGTTCGATCCTCAGCACCACATACCAACAAAGATGTTGTGTCCGCCGAGAACTAAAAAATAAATATTAAAAAAAAAAAAAGAACTATGTAATGTTTTGAACAACCAACAATAAAAAAAAAAAAGGACAAAGAGAAGGCTCTGGATGACATACTAAACTTTGTGATGGATATGAAGTAGATGCTAGTCAATGCACTAAATGACACAACTGGTATTCCAAAATATAGGTTGAATCTAACAAGATGAAATTTAATAAGAACCTGGTTCAAAAAACAAAACAAAATCCAAAATAATTCTGCCACTAAAAGACAAAACTTAACAATACTGTGCACTATATCCCCTCACTCCCCACTGCCTTATTCATTCATTCATTCATTCATTCATTCATTCATTCATTCATTCATTCATTCATTTATTTATTGTAATGAGGATTAAACCCAGTGCCTCACACATACTGGGTGAGTGCTCTACCACTGAGCCACAACCTCAGCCCTCCCCCACTGCCTTTTATTTTTAACATTTTCCCCATTTAAAAAAAATTTTGTTCTACTTACACATGACAGCAGAATGCACTTCAATTCATTGTACACATAGAGCCCTACTGCCCTTTAAAGGCAATAATTAAATAATTCTAATAAATCCTGTTTCAATATGTTGTCTAAAAAACTATCGAATGATACTGTAAGAATACATATCTAGAACGAGGGAGTTGAGATGTTATTGTTATTGTTTGGGCTCACATATGAGCTCTCAGTTCAGGTTGGTTATCCCACTTTAAAAGCAAAGTTGTGAAAGAAAAAATGAGACATAATTACCAGAATAAAGAATTATGTCACTATCCCCTTGCACTCTGACACACACACTGGGGCTTAACCCAGGATTATGCACATGCTACTTTCCAATCCCTTTTTATTTTATTTTACTTTGAGACAAGGTCTCACTAAGTTGCACAGTTGCTCTCAAACTGCATCATCTTCGTGAGTAGCTGGGATTACAGACATGTGCTACTAAGCTCAGCAAAACTATGTTTTAAGTGAACTATAGAAGGAATAAGAAAAAACAATGTTGAGAGGCTTGTGAAGAAGAGCAAGGAAATTAATCAGTGACAGGTGTAGTGGTGCACCTCTACAATCCCAGGGACTCCAGAGGCTGAGGCAGGAGGATCACAAGTTTAAGGCCAGCCAGCCTCAGCAATTTAGAGAAGACTCTCAGCAACTTAATGAGACTGTCTTAAAATAAAAAGGACTGGGGATGTAGTAGGTCAGTGGTAAACAGTGCCCTTAGGCTCAATAAAAAGATAAATCAGACTGATATGATCCTAGAAGACAAAACAAGGACAAAAGAAGACAGATATAGGAAAAGAAATTTTGTACAGATCTGAGAGAGAACCTTCTAACACCCTAAAACAGATCTGTCAAAAGACAAAATGGGAACTTCTAAAGTGAACTCATCAAACCATAAAGAAATGAAAGTAAAGATAATAAACTAACCTAATATCAACATAAGAGTCTATGTGTTCACAAAGGATTTCCTTTTTTTCCCCTAAGAATGAATAAAAAATAAAATAAAACAAAATTGTATTAAGATTCTAGAAAATCATGTTTTCTAGAAGTTTACTAACTACAATGGAAACTGTACTTTCATTTCTTCCTCATATTTTTTTTATCCTGAGATACTTTTTCTCATAAAATACACAAGTAAAACACTGACAAAATTACAGGAAAGTAAAGAAAAAACTCCACTCGCTTTCACCAAATGAAATCTATAGGATAATAGTTTCAACACTACTTGTCTTTCATCATTTTATCCTATGAATGTTGATATTTGGAACCAATTATAAAACAGACACAACACACAAATTGCATTCTGTTCTTTTCGATTAACAATCATTTCCCAATGTTCCGATCAACTCTTTGTAAAGATTTTCTTTCTCTTTTTTAGGGTCAGGGATAGAGGGGCTTGCGTCTAGGGATGCTCTGCTCCTGAGCTACATATCCAGTCCATTTTGCTTTATGAGACAGTGTCTCACGAAGTTGCCCAGGCTGGCCTTGCACTTGCCATCCCCTGCCTTATTCCCCAGAGTGGATGGGATTATAGGGGGGTGCCCCTGCACTAGCATTTTCAATCACTATGCCATATTCCATTAAGATTTATGCATTTTTTTGGTTCAAGGTACTGAACCTAGGGGTGCTGAACCACCCAGCCACATCCCCAGCCCTTTTTAATAATTTACAGACAGGGTCTCACTGAGTTTCTGAAAGCCTTGCTAAGTTGTTGAGGATGGCTGGCTTTGAACTTGTGATTCCCCTGCCTCAGCCTCTAAAGCTGCTGCGATCACAGGTGTGTGCCACTGCGCCTGGCTTTAATTTTTATTCAATATTCCCAAGTACAAATTTATTAGGTCTCACACTATTTCCTTCTAAGGCTATTCTGAGGTATCTCATATATTTTATTGACAATATGTATGACTGACCCTTCTTCCCACTGCTTACTTTCCAGAGTAAAACTGATTCCGAATTTTATTGATGGTAAAGTATCTCAGCTGTTCCTTTTCAGTTAGCTTTTTTTTTTTTGGTACCAGAGGCTGAATTCAAGGGTATTCGACCACTGAACCACATCTGAGTTGCTTAGAGCCTTACTGTTGCTAAGCTGGCTTTGAACTTTTGATCCTCCTGTCTCGGCCTCCCAAGCCACTGGGATTACAGGCGTGCACTACTGAGCCTGGCCATTATTTTTTTGGCAAGAGCTCTATCACTGAGCCCCAGCACCCCCTTCCCTTTTTAAACAACAAACAAACAAACAAATATATATTTTTAGTTGTAGATGGAATCAATACCTTAGTTTAATTTATTATGTTAAAAATATTTTTAAATTGTAGATGGACATAATACCTTATTTATTCATTTTTATATGATGCTGAGGAATGAACCCAGTGCCTCACACATGCCAGGCAAGCACTTCACCACTGAGGTACAAACCCAACCCCCCCATCATTCCTTTTCATAATTTTTTTGAAGTAGGGTCTCTGCTAAGCCTCAGACTCCCAAGCTAAGGATTATAAGTGTGTGCCACCGAGCCCAGCTAGGCCTCTCATTCTAATCTTAAGTTTTCCAAATCCTTATTTTTCTCTTTTTTTTAAAAAAAAATATTTATTTTTTTGGTGTTAGTTGGGCACAATATCTTTATTTATTTATCTTTATGTGGTGCTGAGGATCGAATCCAGGGCCTCGCACTTGCTAAGTGAGAATTCTACCGCTGAGCTACAGCCCCAGTCCTCCTTATTTCTCTTAATGCAATGTAATTTCCTCAGAACTATATTCTAGTTTGTTATTTTTTACTTTTTTACTTTTTCAGAATTCTTACCCGCTGTTCATTTTATTTAATCTTTAATATTCCTTGCATAGGTGTTTTATATAGTCTGTTTAATACTAGGAATATAAACAACTCATGGGAGGCCAGAGTCAAAATCTGTTGCGGTTTTCACTTACGGTAGTGGTTTATTTCCCTGTGTTTGGAGATCTTTGTCTGTGAGTACCTATTTGTTTGATCTCAATCCATGGGACTTTTTGTGGCCTTCTGGATGACAGGGAGAACTAATGATACAAAGTTATACTAGCCTCCTCCAGAGCCCCTCTAACTGCTTTGGTCACAGGGTACTATTGATATGAATATACTGGGTTAATGTCAACTTGGCCGTTCTAATTTGTTTCATTCCCAAGTCAGCTAATATTTTGTCAGTTATGTAGCAACTGATACCTCTTTTCTTGTATAATCACAAAAGCCTGAAATTTTTGAACTTTAGGTAATACTAAAATACTATTTTTAAAAATCAAGGAAAAGACCTTGCCTTAATAGTAGCTTCTTTGTTGATCATCTGTTACTACCCATATGGGCAAAATTTACAGAAAAATACTCTATGGAAGAAAAAAAGGATGAGTGACAGGATGGATAGTAACTAATAATAACTCAATGTTAAAACTGCAGTGGGGGGGGGACTGGGGTTGTGGCTGAGAGGTAGAGCACTTGCCTAGCGCGTGCAAGGCCCTGGGTTCGATCCTCAGCACCACATAAAAATAAATAAATAAAAATAAAGGCATTGTGTACAACTAAAAGAAATAAATATTTTTTAAAAATTCAGTCTCAGGTTTCTTTTTTTCTTTTCTTTTGCACAGTATGGGGGATAGGGACTTCTACATTGCCCAGGCTGGCCTTAAATTTGTGATCCTCAATCTTCTGAGCTGCTGATATTATATGAGCCATCATGCACAGCTCTTAAAGTAATTTGAGTAAGATAATACTGCTATAGTTAGAATGGCTTAAAAATCTAATTAACATTTCTTAAATTCTCCATCTGCTAACTTAGATTTGCTTAATTCATTAATATTCTTTAGAAATACACTCTGGCTGAGTGTGGTAGCACAGGCCTATTATCCCAGCTACTTTAAAATCCCAGTTACTGGGGAGGCTGATGCAGGAGAATTGCAAATATCAAGCCTCTCACTAGAT